AGCGGGTCCCTGAAAGCCGACAGCCGGAACATGTAATTCTCCTCTTTGGTCCAGTGCACCTGAGAAGGCGGGAGGGAAAACGGGAGAGAAAAGGATTACGGCCCAAACGCTCTGCAAGCAGTCGTACAATCCGCACCCAGCGTTCCCAGCGTGGTTCGTCGCCCGCTCCCTCTGCGCTTGGCGTGCTCCCCACCACGCGTGAAGCCCCGGGTGTCTTTCTGTGATGAGCGGGGACCCCCTCTCCTCCGAGCCCGCCGCCCTGGGCTCCCCGGGACAACCCAAGGCCTTGGGCACGTGGGAGGCTCAGCACGCTGCCTCGAGACGCGTGTGCCCCCAGGGAAGGTGCACCTTCACCTGCCAGATTTAGGTCTCATCAGGCAAGAATGAGGGAGACGAGAATGCACTTTCTTAAAAACATAGTTTTGCAATAATAGTAGAAAATTGTGAAAAGACAAAATGACATTGTTCACTGCCGCCCTACCAGCAAGCCTGGCGGGCGCCTTGGCTCTTCTCCTAGGGGCTGTGTTCCTCTCTCTCCCCAGTTTAAGCATCAGCGCATCTTAGTTGCTGACTTCGTTAGCCCATAATCACGTTGAAGTACGGACAGCACTTCTCCAGCACATTTAAATACATTAAACAACACATTTAGCTAAATCAATGAAAACTCCGTGGGTAGCTACGGTATGAGCAAGCTACATAAAGGCACTCAAGAGATCTTCGGCTCGGTCCAGGACTTGTAAAGCTCCAGAAGGCTCCAAGATAAGAAGCGGAGGCTTCGGCAGCCCACAGGAGAGCTTCAGTCTCGGCACTGACCTCGCCAGCTGCTGACCGAGCCAGAACGCGCCTCGCTCTCGACACGGGCAGCAAAGAGCCCGGCACAATGAGCCCTACTGGTACAGAACGGCCTTACGACGTAGCTGAACTTGTCCAATTTCAGCAGCAGCCAGGAGCAAACACGACCCTTTGCTCGCTTGCTTAGAAGGTCACCCCAGAAGATTTTTTTCTACACAAACCACGAGCAAGTTACACAAAAAAGGTTTGGCTCCCCCTCCACCCCAAAAATTCTTTAAGTTTTTCCACAATCTTTTTCATGTTCTGGGTACCAGCTCTCCGCGCTCCGCAGGAGTAACACTTCCCACAGAGCCAGCGCCACGTCCCCCCATCCCATATTCCCTCTACACAACCCAGCGATCCTTTCGGTAAAAGCCAACTCAAAGTGGGACCTGCAACCACTTCTTCCGGCACGCTGCTCTGCAGAGCCCACCTCGCATCGCCTGCCAAGCGCTCAGAGCCGAGCCACCCACCAGCTAGCCACCTGCGGAAAAGGTGGTCGACGGGTGAGTGGAACACCGCTCGGTGGGAAGAGGAAAAGGGATCAGAAACATGCTGTGTCCCGAGAACTGCTACCTCAGAGCCTGCAGCACACACAGAGGTCGATAAAGGGCAGAGTAATTAGAACAACCCGCAAAACCGGCGCCCTTGTTCCAGGCTTGCCTGCGAGCAGTTACCGAGTACCTGCCCTGCAGAGAAACCTGCGTGCTGTCTCTCCTGACCTTCAGACAGCCCCGACCTGGGGAGCACAGCACAACTCAGAAGTCTCTAGCGCAGGCTCCTGCTCCCTGCCGCCGCCTGTGGGGTTAGAACAGGTTACTCAGGGCTTCCGCCAGGCACAGCTCCAAAACCTCCCCGGACAGGGACCGCAGAACTTCCCCTGGCAGCCTGTTCTGCTGCGCGGCTGTCCCCGTGGGGAGGAACTCTCTCTGCTGAGGCTCTGAAGCACCTGGATGACACCCTGGAGCTCCTGACGCCTTGCAGAGAACACGGAGGCAGAGACTCTCGGTCAGGTGCCACGCTCCTGGCTGCGCCGCCACTCAGTCATCAGACCAGACCACAGGCCGGTGAGGTTACTGTGCTTTACGTAGGGCCAAAACCCACGCAACAGGGTGGATGAAAAGCGCCCAGAGGCCAAACCGAATTGGCTCACAAAACAGATCTGAAACTCCAGACGCCCAACGCACACCTCAGTTACAAACACCTTCACCCTGCCGCACAGATAACTTCTTTCACTACGGCTTTACAACACTGCTTGCAGGGCAGCAGCCTGTGGGACCCAGCAGCCTGAACCCTTCCCACGGCACACGGCCGAAGCTTGCCCCTGCCGGCTGGAGGGTCGGCAGCTCTGCCCTGCACAGCCCCACACCGCTGTGAACACAGAAGAGATGTTCTGTGATTTTCTATCCTTGGTTTTCTATGATCACCGAACCCCAGCCCGGCAGGGATCTGTGGGTTACCCAGCCCAACCCCCTGCCCAAGCAGGGTCACCCAGACCAGGCTGCACAGCACCACGTCCAGGCAGGGCTGGAATATCTCCAGAGAAGGAGACTCCACAGCCTCCCTGGGCAGCCTGGGCCAGGGCTCCGTCACCCTCAGAGGGAAGAAGTTCTTCCTCGGGTTCAGCTGGAGCTTCCTCTGCTTCAGTTTGTGCCCGTTGCCCCTTGTCCTGTCGTTGGGCACCACTGGAAAGAGTCTGGCCCCGTCCTCCTGACCCCCACCCTGCAGATATGATTTCCTAGTCTATGAATTTGATAGGTCAAGGGGTGATGGCTTGCAGCTGAAGAGGGCAGATTTAGATTAGATATAGGGAAGAAATTCTTCGCTATGAGTGGTGCAGCCCTGGCTGCCCAGAGAAGCTGTGGCTGCCCCCTCCCCGGCAGTGCTCAAGGCCGGGTTGGACGGGGCTGGGAGCACCCTGGGCTGGAGAAAGGGGTCCCTGTCTGGAACCAGGTGCGGCCCCTTCCAGCCC